TATATATATGTGCGTGTGTGGAAACAAAGTGCGCATACACAGAATTCTGTCAGGTAAGATAAACTTTAAAACATTTATTCGGAGAGATGTTGATGTGTAATTGATTTGAATCTGTTATACTTTTGTGAAGATTTAGACTTTTATCAGCATTAGACTTAATTATTAAAGATGACTTTTTTCCCCTTTTAATTGCAGATCTGAACATTAATACCAATGCAATCTACCTCGGTAAATTAGCTGTTCATGGATCCTGTAGTTAGACGTAAAATCCCTGCGTGCGTTCGTTCATTACTCACTGATATTGCACCGAAGGAGGAGAAGCACCTCAGCGACTGGCCTGAAACAGACTCTGAATCAATTACCACCAAAGATGGGATCGCGCACCCCCAAAGAGGGACTTCTGAAGCTCTCCTGACACCTGCTGATGGGACAGAGGGTGGAACTACTGCATCATCAGTCAAACCATGTGGGCTTTGCTTATCCAAACCCTCCGGTTACACTTGCCCGAGGTGTAACGTCCCATATTGCGGCCTGGCTTGTTACAGGAGTCAGAATCACTCTTCATGCTCAGAGGAGTTTTATAAAGAGTCTGTGCTGCAGGAGCTGAAATCCCAAGGTGTCTCAGATGAGGAGGGGAAAAGCAAGATGCAGGAAATTCTGCTCCGGCTCAGACAGAGTGCAGAGAGCGAGGGAGGAATGGAGAATTTATTAAGAAACCTGGGAGAAGATGAAACTAGTGTGACCGAAAAAGACGCACATGCTTTGGAGCTGCTTTCTCGGTTAGCAGAGATTCAATCTAGTGGGGATGAAACAAGTCATGAGGCACAAGAAATACTAGCAGAACTCCGAGATATTGAAGATGGGAGTGATGAAGAGGAAACTGATTTAGCTGAAAAGTTAGCAGGCCTGGATATTGACTCTCTTTCAGAGGATGAACTCTGGTCGTTGTTGTCAGCCCAGGAAAAGGAGAAATTTGAGAGACTGGTGAAAGAAGGTGGCATTGGTGGACTGGTTGTCCTGTGGAGCCCCTGGTGGGAACGGCATGAGAAAGATACTAAAGCACTTATCAAGGAACTTCAGTCTGAGAATGATAAAGAAATGCACAATATGAATGATAAAAAAGACAGAAAAATTAAGAAAGTCAGTAGCAATAAAGTAAAATCGGACAAATCACTAAAAAGCTCAATCCCACCAATAAGTGCCAAAATCCCTCCTCTTCACACACTATCTTCAAACCCATCTCTTCTAGTGCGGTACAACCTGATCAATGCTCTTTATGGATACACCTTCTCGCTGTGTCTCTATAATGGAGACGTCTCAGAGATGTTGCTCGAGTTCTGTCAGGTGGTGCTTGCCATCTCGGAGGGTTTGGGTGGCAGACGGGTCTTCAACTCCGTCTCTGAGGCACTCGACGCTGGAATGAGAGCTGTATCTGCAGGAGGATACTTTGATCGCGAGGACCCTTTAGCTCCACTTCGAGCTGTGGAAGCGGTGGCTCATATTCTGACTGGAGAGAGCAGAGAGGACGCTGTGGGATATTCTCTGTCCGCTCTGTCCCAGCTGCGCACCGCTTTGAGCAAGGCAAAGGCTTCTGTTCCTAAGGAAGATGAGCAGATGAGGCGGATGTATTTTCAAGCTGGAAAGAAGTGCAAGTTTTTTCAGTCTTGGTTGAACGAGAATCCCAAAGTTTTGAGAAGTCTTGCAGGATGTGTGTGGATGGACTATGAGAGAAGGGAGATGGAGAGGATGAGATTAGAAGGAGAGAAGAAATGTTTGGAAAAGGGACGGGAAAAAAGTAAAGGAGCTTTGATAGAAGAAATTGAGTGATTGTATTGTATGCATTTTTAAATAAAAAGTAATCATTTAAAATAAAATAATTTGTATTGCAGGTATTTGTGTCTGAAGAATTAAAACATTTGTTGAGCCTTTAAATGTCATTAATGCTGCAGTCCACACTTATAATAAAAAAAAAAAAATTATTATTTAATAATACAATATATTTTTCATTTTTGAAAAACATCTGAATGAATAGAAAGCAATGTTATGATGCAAATAAAAACAATATATGCCGTATCTTTTGTTATGTCCAGTTCTCTGCACTGATGAGGACACATCCACTTGTTGAACACATCAGTCTATATTAATAAATGTACGGGATTATTCTGTAGGGTGCAGGTATTTGTGTCTGAAGAATTAAAACATTTGTTGAGCGTTTAAATGTCATTAATGCTGCAGTCCACACTTATGATAATTAAAAAAAAAAAATTATTATTTAATAATACAATATATTTTTCATTTTTTAAAAACATCTGAATGAATAGAAAGCAATGTTATGATGCAAATAAAAACAATATATGCCGTATCTTTTGTTATGTCCAGTTCTCTGCACTGATGAGGACACATCCACTTGTTGAACACATCAGTCTATATTAATAAATGTACGGGATTATTCTGTAGGGCACTCGTCTGCAGTACGTGTCCCAGGCCAGTCCGTATTTGGCTCGGCATTGTTTCTCATCTCTGGCCTCTCGGTGGATGAGCAGAATGGTGAAATATATTACATAGAAGTAAGGCAGAATATGCAACATTCCTAAGAAAAAAAGTTGGAATAAACAACTGATTCAATTATACTGCAATTATGATTTGATGACTTTTGATTGGACATTTTTGATTGGCTATTGGGCTAATTTTGTTACCTAGACCTGGCAACCCTGGTCTGTGTAAAAATCATTATCATGCAGGAGTGTTAAAGGAATGATAACTATCATCAGTTCAAATCATTTGCTGATCACTTACCACAAGGCAGGGACCACGCCAGAGCCATGAGAAGGTCCCCCAGGTAGTTTGGATGCCTGACAAACCCCCACCACCCTGAAACCAAGAGACGCGTTCCTGTTGCAGTGGCGATAGTTTCCAGCTCTACAAGTGAAAAGAAAGGATGAGAAAATTCATCATTTATGCTAGTCTGGAAGCCATAATTTGGTCTCCAGTTAGAAATTCACCCTTTTCTTAATTTTAGATCCAGATAAAGTGTTTTAAAACAATGTTCACTAAATACAAACTAAAAGTTGGTAGCATAACAAAAAACACGTGATTACTAACGTGATACACTTTTATGTGTGGGGTCTCTTCTGAACTGATTTTTCTGAGAGTTAGATTTCCGGAAAATGTAATAACCAATTCCTGCAAAAGATTCAAAATAGGAGAGTTAGAAAATGTTATACATTCAGATAGCTGCAAAACAGGTTGTAGATTACCATTTAGAAGAATAATCCCCGCTGCTCCAAGAGTACTAAGTGACTGTGGGTGCACAACCAGAAACATGGCCTGAAGACCATACGTGAAGGGAACCCAGGCCAGGTCACCAAACGCCAACATGAACCCAAATCCATCATGCACAATGTCCATAGTAGTAAGCACAGCCTCCTGCAGACACAAGGAAAATGGTAATGTTGTGTGTATTTGGAACTCAGTCTATATTAATATATGTATGCATATATTTTCCGAATAGACTAGTTTTCTCATACTTCATTCCACAGAGCATCTGTCACATAGAGGAGCTGGAAGCCGTTGACAAGCAGCATGGCAAGAGATGGAGAGCCTCTCAGCTCTACTTCTTTCATTAACATCCCCAGGTTTATTACCACCTGAAAAACAACAATGCAAAAGAGAGAAAGTGGGTAAAAATACTTTGGTGTTTCAGATTAGATATTAGCATATTAGAATGATATCTGAAGCATCATGTGACACTGAAGACTGGAGTAATGATGCTGAAAATTCAGCTTTTTATCACAGGAACAAATTACATTTTAAAATGTAATGTTTAAAATGGTAAATAGAAAATTGCAATAATATTTAACAATATTACGGTTTAAACTTACCAACCCCAAACGTTTTAAACAATAGCATATATATTTACATGTCCATGTAAACATCTGTTGAGACTCTTACCCAGCCTATTAATCCAGGTCTTAGTTCACAGAAATATTTCAAGTCGAAATCTCCAATCCGAGGGTTGAGCTCTCGGCCCATGAAGAAGTCATACAGAGGATTTCCTACAAATCACAATGTAACTGCATTGACAAATACTTCGAAGAGACTTCAAAGTAGAAGCATATCTGGAATATCTGACAATGATCTGTAAATATCAGGACTTCTTATCTCACCCGTGTTTCCTCCAAGTGATAAAGCATGCTGAGGTGCCCAGAAAGAGCGGATATACAGGTACATAGACAGCAGGTAGGACACACCGATGGCACACACAGCCAGAGGCAAAATCAGATCAAACAGATACCCGAGTGGCATTCCCAGCCAAAGACATATTAGCAACAGGACAGCAGTAATGCTCAGGGCATTAAAACCTAAGAAATAAAGATGTAAAAATCAGGTCACAATCATATCTACAAAGATAAACATATACACTACCTTTCAAAAGGTTTAGAAAGGTTTTAGTTTAATATTAAGCAGCACAACTGTTTTCAACATTGATAATGACAAGAAATGTTTCTTGAGCACCAAATCAGCATATTAGAATGATTTCTGAAGGATCATGTGACACTGAAGACTGGAGTAATGATGCTGAAAATTCATCTTTGTCATAAGAGGAATAAATTACATTTTAAAATTTATTCAAATAGAAAACAGTTAATTTAAATTGTAATAATATTTCACAGTATTACTGTTTTTACTGTATTTTTGATCAAATAAATGTGGACTTAGTAAAAATAAGAAACTTTCTTCAAAATCTTACTAGCTCTAAACTTTTTAACGGTAGTGTACATGTATTTATATTTTCTCCTGATAATTTAAGATTATTAATATTTAAATTAAGCAATCAAGCTTATTATTTTTCTTTAGAACTTTACTAATATACATTATTTATGTTTTTTTACTTAACCTTTACATTTTTTTGTAAAAATGCAGTCTTGAATTATGAAACTATGCTAAACTTAATGAACTGAAAGAAATGAAGCACTGTCCAGATATAAGGAGAAACTAGAGTTTACTGACAAATGGAATTTGAACTCTACTTTGTATATAATAGGTGGTTTGTAAAACCAAGGACAAGAGGTCAAAGGTTACCATGTCAACTAAGACTATCCTGTTTAATTTGTGTCAAAGACATTAAAAATGTATTATTAGCATTATTTGTATAACATTACAAACAGGTAGACAGCATGTATTACCATTAATGGCATATTTCAGTCTGGATCCATCTCTGAGGACTAATCCTTCAGAAACCTGTTAACAAATAAATCAGTTAAATATCTGACATACTCGCTTCAGAAAATAAACTAATTTGTCTTTCAAAGAAACGTATGATACACTATCTCACCTTCCCCATGGGCAGTAGATAGAGAAAACTCTGCAGGGTGATCCAACCTACAATCAGAACTGCGGCCAAAGGGTCCCATAAGTGTGCTGCGGGGGGTAAAGGAGGAGGCCACTGCAGGACACTGGCTGCTGGAGACCGACACACACTCAGCAGGTACAGAACCGTCAGAGGCAGGAACACAGGGATGCAGGTGGCACCTGGACAGGTGAGGTGGACAAATGAACTCATATGGCACAGAAGCCACATATAGCCACACAGTGAATAAATCACTACACATACACAAACATAAGCATATATACAAAAAAAATAAAAATAGTAGCTCACCAAGAGCACCTCCAAATTCCCTTTCAGCTGAATGTGTTGCTTTGTGCTTGTTAGGCTTCATTTTGCCTGTTTGAGACAAAGATGAGGCCTTAGCATGTTTGGCAAAACAAATATAGTATACAAGAATAGTGTATTATTTAAATGTCAGTGCGTTTGTTAAATGCAGTAGTTTACGTCATGATTATTTTCAGACTTCATCGAATCAACCAAATAACCCTGTAGTAACATTAATATATACATAAAATATATATAGCGTATTTTTCTCTTACCTCTGTTTCCCACAAACTTACTGTTATATTGTATGGAAACCGCTCATCATCATCACTGTAGATGTCTGAGTAAGTGAAGCCTGCGATCAGAACACGCTGTTTGCCTTTGCGCCATCTGACCAATCAGCGCGTACCGCTGCTATCAGAAGCGTGGGGAGAGACAACCAGGGAACCAATCAGAATCAAAGACGAGCGGATGAAACCGCCCCCGATGCCTTCCTGACCAATGGCGAAAGCGTCTGTTCTGGCTCCATATTACAGTGCATTCAATAACAACAGAGGCAAGGATGCGGATTTTTCCTCCCAAGAAACTGGGACGCAAGTTTTTCTTTATGTACATTACGTTTATTAAATATACACTATCCAGTTAATGCAGATTGAACAGCTTTCAGAAATCAACAATAAAAGACAATTTTCAAACATGCCGATTTGGTTTTTATAGACAGAACATCTTACCTATAATATACAGTGATTAGTTATTAAATAAATGGGTTATCGTTTCGTTCATTGTATGTTGTGTTCATTTTGGGACTTTGACAAGAGACAATAATATTTCAGCTTTTAGCAGCCAATGTCCACACACTCATAGCCTTTGAATAAATGAAGGTTAAAAAAAACTTTGTGATCTCAATCCAGCTATAATAGGGTTCAATCTGAGTTCACTGACCTTTTATTAATTGTTCAAGTGACTTCACTGAAATTTATACTCCATCAGTTACATAAAATAACGGTAAATATAAGTATTAGTATTGTCCAACAGTTGAGTTCAGTTATGTGCAAACTTGTTTGCCTATTTAAGGAAAAACACCCACTCTACCCCCTCTCACAGATGACCTCAATGACACTTTGCTCCATTGGAGACGGGTCCAGGCAACGATGGGCGGCACTACCCACAATCTCATCCAGCAGGAAGTGCACTAGGTTCTCATCAGACACAAACCGCCACAGGTACATCTGCAAGTAGTGGCAGTCCACCTGGATTTGCTGCAGTCCGTATCTGCCAAACGTACGGAGACGGACACATTCGAGGAATGTCTTCAGACTTATCTTAATGATGCCAGTTAGCACAGAGACCTAGGATAAGACAGAAAACTGGTCATACAGACTGAAAAAAATTATTATAACATACATACATACATATACATACAGTCATGGCCAAAAGTTTTGGCAGTGACATACATTTTGTGTTTTGCAAAGTTTGCTGCTTAAGCTGTTGTGGTGTTCATTCACATTGTTTCTAGATTATTGTGTAGAGTGATCAGATGCATTTTGAATAATTGCTAAAAGCTTCATTGACCAAAAAAGTAACTTTTCACAAAAAAACAAATTTCACTGTTTTTTGATCCTGACACAAAATGACCAGCTAACATTAATTGACTAATCATATCAGCAGCACATGTGAAAGTGTGAATGAGTACTAGTGAGGTTAATCACTATCATAGTAATTAGATCGTAAGAGCAGACTGATCGCTATAGAAAGAGGGAAGAAGCGCTTCCAATCATTGTGTACTTGTTAGCAATGGTTACCTCCAAAGAAACATGTGCATCCATCATCACTTTGCATCAAAACGGCCTCACATGCGAGGAAATTGCTACAAAGAATATTGCACCTGAAAGAACCATTTACCGGATCATCAAGAACTTCAAGGAGAGAGGACCGACTGCAGTGAAGTCATTAAGAGCTAATAAGGCAAGAATGGATCGCCAACAGTCAGGATTTAGCCCAGAAGCTAATAGCAGCATGCCAGAGCAAATTGCAGAGGTTATTAAGAACAAGGGTCAACACTGTAAATATTGACTCATTATATTTTTTTGCCAATAAAAGCCTTTAAAACTTATGATATGCTTATCATTGTTTTTCAGTATACCATAGAAACGTGGAAAATCTACAAATACTGAAGCAGCAAACTTCGCAAAACAAAATTTATGTCACTGCCAAAACTTTTGGCCATGACTGTATGTATATATATATAACATTAAAATTTGCATTGGTCAGTTAGTTAAATGACAGAAACAATAGTTAACAAAATTTAGTTTTCTACCTTGTTGAACTCCACTGGGCTAAAGATATCGATCCTCTCAGAAAATAACTTGTTAATGTTACTGAGCAAGCTTGTGTCCATTGGAGCACTGGAACAAAAAACATAAACAATTATAAACAATATCCTCTGTGCGACTATGTATATTCCATTACACCTTTACAGAACTAAGGCATGTGATCAACTAAAGAAAAAAAAAAAAAGAAGGAAAACATAATACAACAGTAATAATAATGCTAATAATAAATAATCTAATTATTATTTTTGTATTAAAGTATTTAATAATAATAATAATAATAATAATATGAAGTACAATATTATAGTAATTATTTGTTTTCAAATGTAAAACTATAGCCAGGGCCGGCCCAAGCCTTTATGGGGCCCTAGCAGAATTGTATTTGGGGGCCCCTCGGTGCCGCCAATATGACTGGTTATTGTCAAACCTTGATTATTCACACACTATAAATCTAACACAACCATTATCAGTTTTGTTTGTTGTAGCTGTGTTGCTTACATCATACCTTTGTCTGCCTGGCATGTTTTTTCCCTTCTGTGATTTTTAATTGTAACAGTTGCAAACTTACAAGAGTGGTCAAGTGTTCATTTGCACTTTAACATTCAAAGTCTTAAAGGGGTCATATAATGCTTTTTTAAAGATAATTATTTGGTGTATTTGGTGTAACAGAATATGTTGACATGCTTTAATGTTCAAAAAACACATTATTTTTCAAATACTGTACATTAATCGAAGTTGTACTTTTATTACAAGTCATACTTTTCTATAATAATAATCTCTTAATCTATATCTAGCTAATTGAGGCATAATGATATTGGAATATAATAGCAAAGACCCCAAAAGGTAGGCTAAGGTAAATAATGTTAAGCTGTTATCAGTTTATGAAACAGAAGCTTATTTTTATTACATAAATATATACCCAGGAAAGTTAATTTTACACAGAAGACAAAAACTTTAATCTAAAACTAAGTAAAATGTTATATTATATATTAAGATGTCAAGGCTATTTGCTGATGTTTTGATGTTCAAACATGAGCTTCCCTAAAACAAAAAAGATACCCTACCTAGACTATGCATACTAATTAACTGGGGGGGTTGGGATGGTCTGATCTGGTCAGGGGTGCGTTTCCCACCCCAAGTTCTGTCGTTACCAATAGAGTTCAATGGAAATAAAGACAATAGTTAGCTAACGATGCTTTTGAGAAACGCACCCCTGATTTGTGCCACAAAACCCCCATGTTGAATTTGTCCCCCCTCCACCCCCAAAACGCGATCGATTTTAACCCTTCGACGCGCTACGCTTTGGCTGGCGCTGAGCCAGAGAAAGACGAGCTCAGAAAAAAGAAGAAGAAAGGAAAACGTGCTCAGTGCTTTTCATATTTCATAACTGTTCAGTGTTTTCAACCGAGTAAAGTTTATTTTAGGTTTCAGACATTTAAATACACTTCAATTAAGTAAAAAATACATTTAGTTTGTTAAATACACACTGATTTCTATGGAAAGCGGCAATAATAATCCTTTCAATTAATGGACGATGTGTTTTATTCCTATCAAATACACATTGTGTAGGTTACTATAAAGTTTACTCTGTTTTTCTCCCAGCTAACTGGCCACTTACTTTCATGTATTTCAGGAGAAATAGGTGAATTTACGTGATGTTAATCCGACAGATCCACACGGCAGCGTCCAGCGCATATTATCAACGGTTATTATTGTGCCTGCATGACACGTCGCTATGGAAATAATAAAATGATATGTATAGATTATTTAATTATTTAATATTGCGCTTTCGTATAATTACCATTGTCATAATATATCACGAATTAAAAAAGAAAAATAATAAAATAAAATAAACTGTCATGTAGGCTACTCTTGGGGGCCCTCAGCAGCCGCTTAGTTCGCTTATGCCTTGGGCCGGCTCTGACTATAGCTTACATTTTGCCTGAAAATGCAGGGAGGCTCTAAAAAAAATCTCTGTTTAAAATAGATTTACAAATTACTCTCAATATGGGAAAATTTTTTGGTGCAGGTTGCTTTTTCAAATGCCCATCATAAAAAAATTCTGATTAGTCAGTAAAATTAGTGAAGTGATTGTGCACCTAGGAGTGTAGCTTGGTGCATAGCGGATCTGCGGTCTTGAGCTGCTGTACACAGAGAAGGTGCGTTTGCTGGAGTCACTGCTGTGGGCTTTCCTTACTCCTTCCTCATAAAGCAGTCCCACCTAGTAAGCACATATGCAGGCAAAATTGGCTTATACAAATGGTTAAGAATTGATATGCATCTTTTTTCATGGATTCAAATGGTCTGTTACATATCTAGAATCTTTTTTGTAAATAAAATATGAAACAAATGTTTGGTGCTGCAACACCTGTACATCAATAGAGGTGGTATCTTCCACCACCCTCTTCATAACAGCCCGGACATTTCTAGGTTCAATGGTGTTCACCCAGTCTCTCGTTTCCACGCTCTTCCTCAGCATTTGACTGATGATTAATCCCTGAACCTGGATCAAAACAAAACTTGCTTAACAAATGTTGTCCAACAGCAATCCTAGCCCGAAATAAAAGACTGTACAGCTGAACTTAGTTTTCACTTAGTTACCTTCACATAGTGGTTCAATAATTTCTGAGCAGCTTCTCTGGCCTCTGCACAAAGTGCTGTAACAGGAGTGACTGGAGTGTGGTGCTGTTTAGAGAATAAAGGTCAATATGAATAGTGTATTTAGAGAGTTTATTTCAACAGAATATAATGCATATGGAATACCTGTACAAGAAACTGTTCATCTGTGAGCGTGAGGATGTAGGAGATGGTGGAGGTCTCATAGTCCAGACAGAGACGAGAGAGCAACAGAAGGAGAGCAGGAGGCGTGGATCCTCCTCTGTCACCTGCACTCTCACAGTACTGACGAGACGATTGGCAAATGAACTTAATAAAGCTCACCACCAGGCCCTCACGCACACCCTGACTGCAAAACTCACCCTGAGAGAAACATATGAGAGGTCTTAGAAAAGCGACAAAACATGGGAACATTCTTGGTCATTTTAAACCAAAACATTTTTATGATTTTTTTTTTTTTTACTGGAATAGTATGAAACTTGGGGACTTTTGTGAACACCAAAAAAACATGGACATGGTTAGAAAAACGGTCCTAAAAAATAGTATAGTAAATGTCACCATAGTAAATGACTAAGAAATACGGAAAATATGAAAATACAGAGCGGTCCTAAAAAATAGTAAC